CTGAGATCTACTATGATGCAAGAACGTCTCTTTGGACTTGCCATTATAAGCATAAACCATGTGGTCTCAAATCAGTTGTCATATGATGATGTTGTAGATGACTTTGCTGCAAGAAAAACCAGGAGAGTAAAGCTGTAGCAGGTTATGTGAGATTGAGGAGGTGATGGTGTAGTTTTTAAGTTACGGCAGTACCAAAAACACCACTAGAGGTCTTTGTAAGATCATCTTTTTATTTTTATTTAAATCCTTGTATTTTTTTGTGCCTACTCGTTTCTTTAATATCTTATTTTGCACAGTGCCGTATTTATATTGTATTTTTAAGTTAATGTCACTTGTTTACACTTTTTATTTTGGGAGTATTAATAGGTACTTTATGTAAGCTATTTATATTGTATTTCATATGTTCAGTTCATTTTTTTGTATTTGTTTCTTTAATTCTTTCTAAGTATTTTGAATGTGCAATTGCTTTATTTAAATAAAAGAATGTCCAAGACAAAGCTATTACGTTTCTTATGAGTATATACACTAGCAGTGGAATTTACTGCGATGCAATGGGGCGCCACCTGAAATCTTGCCTAGGGCGCCAAATTGGTTAGGGCCGGGCCTGCTCCACCCTGGGAACAGTGACTTTTGAGTTGATGCTTCAAGTACTATACATTTTGTTGATCACACTTTGGTGCTTTCATTCAAGTATTCAAGTATGAGTATTTTTAACTCATGTAAAACATCACATTTTATTAACTTTAAATAAAGAAGTCACAGCTACAAAATAAAGTTACGAAGGCACTGTTACTTCCCATCAGATAGATGCTGACAATTAACTGACAAGACATTTTAATATTTGGCTTATAGTTTAAGTCATTTTAAAGCAAAAAGGGACAAAAACTTTGTGGTCCCAGTTTGCTGGTTTTTATAGCATCATTTCACAGTTAACTGAATATCTTTGGGTTCTGAACAGTTTGTCAGACAAATCAAGCAACATGAAGACGTCACCTTGGACTAACGGGCATTTTTCTGTAACTTGTGACAAATTAAAGACAAAACAATTGAGATAATTGCAAACCTAATCTGCAGGTTAATGAAAATAATGAGTACACTCACTGACCTTGAAGCAGGAGTAAAAAAGAGACCACACGTCTCCTGAGCAAAAACCTTTTTTTTTTTATTTCTCGTTGAAAGGAACTTGGTAGAATATTACAGCAGAACACACATGACTGAAACAGCTGCCATTTCACGTAACACAGTACAGGAAGAAGGATGTAGTTCAATCTCATGTGTAATATCATATATAGTATATTTATATCAATAAAAAAGAAAAAACTATTGCTCCCAGGTGTTTTTTTCCATATGGCATTTCTCTGCTGTGTCAAAGTGGGTAAAGTAAAATTCAACGAGAGGTTTACACACCAAAGGAAGTGGGACAATGAAAGTGACATTCCCCAAAGCATGGGTACTTTGTGGCTTTTTAAAAAATTTTAGGCTGAGCAATAAACTTTAAATGTTTTTACCATTGCAAAAATCTAAATAAAACTTAAAACCACTCTCACAAAAAAGGATAAATACCATCATACAGCAATCAGAGTATGCAAAAGAAAAGAACACAAGGCAGCTCCGCATAAGAGCAGGCATGCAAATATGATCTTAAAAATAGGAGCACTAAAGACAGCCTGTTGATGATTGCAGGTGTTTGTGTTCGCGTCGTATGGCAACTGATGGAAAGCCAATTAATGACAAAACGTGGTAAAATGGGTGGACTGAAACGAGGGGACAAGTCGACGCTCTGTAAAGTGAACTGGAGTGCTGAGTGTTTGCTGACAAACTACTTCAATGAAGTTGTGTCAAGAAATTGCTATAACATACTCTGTTATCAATTTGTTGTACTCGTCTTAATTTCCTCTAAGGAATAAAAGAAATGTTAAGAAAAAAGCAGGTATGAAATATCACCCTGGACAGTTGCATCCAAGTTTAGTGTTTTAAATAAGCCACTTTAGGCAGCATTTATCTAATAAATGTCTCATATTTCTAAGACATTTCAATATATCTCTTTTGAAAAATAATTCTATCTATACTTGATCTTTTTGTAAGTAAATCTCTTCCAGTATGTTTGTTTTTTTTACTTTAGGAACAGCACCCCACTATGGGTTTTTATTTTCCAAAAGCACCTAATTTTTCTTACAATCAGACTGAACACAGCTTCAGTCATTAATGGTCAGAGTTCAAGATTAAAGGATCCAAATGGTGCACCCTAAATACATCAACAAGGTCAATTTCCTTGAGACCTTAGCTCAAGCCCCGCAATGTTAAGCTTAGCGCAGAAAAGTGTGACCAGTGCTGGAGGCCTGAGCTCACCGCATCCTTTTTGCCAAAGAGGTCACAGAAGTCACATGTGGCCCTGCATCATATGAGACATCATCAGTTGTCACCGACATCTCAGCTGCAGCAACTTGCTGACCAGATCTGCACCCAGAGCCTCTTGAGGATGATGCACAGGCCCAGGTAATACACAGATAGGACTTGCCAGCCCTGAGCCATGTGGGAGCAGGTCAGCACCTAGCACCTGAGGGATGCCCAGGAGGGAGAGGAGGAGGGGATGGAGGAGGAAGGAAGGACTGGGGGAGGTCATTTGGACTCATTTGGATTGTCCAGGAATCCAAATGTGTCATGTGCTTGTAACAGATCACCTTAAAGGAGGGACCTCGCTGGGCTGAGTGCATGTCCAAGGATGCCCCCTATAGCTGAAACCGGGGCTCTGGGTGTTGCAGGTCTGCCTGGGCAAGCTGTTCGTTACTGATCACTTTAGACAAAAAACACACAGCCATGGTGAGTGATGCAGGTGCGCTGTCTCACGCCCACTCCACACCTGCTGGTTTGAGTATGTGACACGTTTCACACTTCCTTATTTTCATCACACAGATACAGGTCAGCACCAGGTGAGCTCTTATCATTGGATATCAAGCAGGAAGTGGGACTGGTAACCTACTGCTGCCTCTTGAGCTGTCAGACTTAATTTGCTGGGCTACATGTTTGAGGTTATCAAATGGACAATCAATATATTTATGTATATATAGATATTTATAGTTTTATCAAGGGGAAATCTCATACAGGAGCTGACTACTGCAGTCCGCACTCATTTATCTATAACATCCACCTAAACTTTAGAACATGGATCTCTTATATAGACATTAATTTCTCAGTCAAATATACTTTTTATTTTACTCTGTTGTTTTAGCATTTAAAGTTCGATTCGTCATGCACAGAATAGCTAGTCGTTCCCCTCTCTCCGTTTCTCTGTGTATCTCCAGGCTTTGCATCATGTTGTGAGCTTCATCACAAGCAGACACCTCTCCGTCAATCGTCGTCCACGTCGTCGCCCTCCGACTCCTCTCCGGTTCTCCTCTCATACATCTTATCCCGGTGCCGCTCCTGGATCTCTTTCATTTCCTCGGCGTAGCGGCTGAACGCCCCTCCGAACTTGCTCCACGCCTTGAAGGGGATTGTTATAGAGTTTCTATAGCTGGGCTTCACTTCACTCACCCTTAAGAAAACTCCGTACTTGTTGGATCCCACGTCAAAGAAGAACCGCTTGGAGTCCACCATGATCGAGGTGCCCTCCGGAAGCTCGCTGTAGCCACCGGCCCCTCCGCCGCCGGCCAGCTCCTGTAGTCGTCTATTAACTTGGCCAAGGCGTCGCGGAACTCTATTAAGCCCTGGGCCGGGAGTGCAATGGTTTGTCCGGCTTGCAGGCCAGCCCCGGGGATGCCGCCTACTCCGACACCGAAGCCGGGGCCTCGATTGACGGTCTGTCGGATCCGGAGAAACCGACCCCTCTGGTTCTCCTTCAAGTCGAGGTAGTATTTGCGGTTCTCACGCACCAGGAACTCGCTCTTCAAGGCCCTTCTAGGCCCGGTGTCATCCCCACCGGATGACTGAGCGATCTGCTCCGGGGTACTAGGCCCAAGCTGGGCGTAGTGCTCTATGAAATCCCCCAGGTAGTCACGGAACTCTGCTGCAACTGACATAGAGAGGGTCAGTCGACTTTTCGAGCCTCCGGCGCCGACCTCGGCGATTTTGATAAACCGGCCTTTCGCGTTTTGCTTCACATCAAGGTAGAAACGTTTGTTCTGAATGTCCAATCGTTTCGAGGCCAGCTCCTGGGTCTCCGGTTCCCGCTGGTAATGCTGAAACCCACTGCCTCCTCCCCCTCCACCGCCACCGCCGCTGCTGCCACCGCGCTCACTGCCACTGTCCCCATCCGCCATCTTCGCCACCAGCAGCCCGTTTCTCTGCGTATCTTTGACCCTCACCCCACCTCCTTGCTTGGCGAGCTCGCAGAGGAAACCGGACGCTGGTTGCTGGGCTTTGATTGGCCACTGCAGCTGCCAATTACGACATCAGATAAGGAGCTTGCGTTTTCATTTGCCAAGTATCTGTCAATAAAACGTATTCTGCCTTCTGAATGACATTCGAGTATATGTTGTATTTACAATCCGAATACCAGCTATCCATGTCAGTAATAAACTTGTAACTATACATGCACCGGAGAATGGGCTCTTTGGTGCATTCACATTTTCCATAACCACTTTCCTAATGTAGTCGACACAAAACTTTGTATTTGAAGAGCTTGAAATTCAAGAATTAATTCCAACTATGGCCTCATGATTATGTATTTTGTACATTTTTAGACTGGATGCCCCTGGAAGGACACTCCCGCCTACTTGTTGGTTTCGTGCGCAAAGGCAGGCACGATGATCCTAGAGTGGGGGATGGGTGAATGTTGTGTAAGCTGTTTGGCGATTGGTCGACACAGACATTCGAAGTAACAACACGCACTCTGATTGGCTCTCTAGGCTTCCACGAGGGGTCGCACGCAAAAGATTTGCGAAAGGGGTTATTGTTTCTTTGCTTTCGGGAGCTGAAATTGTTATCCACTCAGTTCTACAATCAAATACCACAACGTTAAAATGGTAAGTGCGCGTCGGGCAATGGTAATTGCGTTGTAGATGCTGTCTGTTCGTTTTTACTTTAATTAATACACTATAGAAAGTGTTGCTTTCAATTTTTATTGAGGAAATTCGACCAGGACGTGTGTGCTTAACAAGCTCGCTACATAGCTAACTGTTAGCATTAGCCTCAGAAGTCCGAATTTTTTGCTTTTCTGTCAGAGGTAGCATAATACTGTTGCTGCGCTGTGTTTTTTCAGATAGTGTCTCTTTTGTCGAAGTGATGTGGCTTATTCGGAGATTACACTTTGTTTCACAGAAAAGTGCTCTTGAGTCGGAGTAGCCTCTGAAAGGTGGACTAGCAACCATTAGCAAGCTAAGTTTAGTTGGTCCATTGGTTTAACGGTAGGTAATTGGCTATAAGTGTTTGATATTAAGTCTGTAAACGCGTATAATAGGGTTAAGACGTTGCTGGGGTTTATTTACGACAATGCGACTCCATTAGACAACTTCGCTTTGTTGAAATTTATGAATGAAAACTTAAGCTGGCCGTGTTTGACGCGGCGGTTTGTTTTCTGTTTGTCGCGGGGTCAGCGGCAGTACCCCGCTTAAAAAGTTTCTAATGTTTTTGTCAGGATGGCTCCGTATCAGTTTCCCCTACTTAATCGTTTCATTGCTAGGCTGTTCATGCAACATCCGTCTACCATTAACGTCGCCTGCTTGGATTTCGTGTGTTTAATTTTTGATTGGCGGGAAAACGATAATAGTTTAACCGGGCATCTGTAACGGAACCTACTGAGCTGCTAATGTGCGTGTAGTGCCTGCTCTCTCAATTGGTCTCCCTTTTCCCCACAAGTTCATCCACTTCATTTGCTTATACTGGATCTGTAAATATTTTGCCCAAGTCGAAAATATGATGTGCTATTGTAGTGTTCATCTTTGTTATGTAGTGCTTACTCTTGCGCAAGTCCATGCACTGCAGCCGCTCAGATTTTTGCCTCACCTTTACTGCAGTTATTTCTCAGAATACGTGCTCTTGTTATTTCCTTGTGTAAACTTCCTGAGATCACCCTTATGCAGGCTGGTGGCAAAGCAGGAAAGGACAGTGGCAAAGCCAAGGCGAAAGCAGTGTCTCGTTCCCAGAGGGCTGGGCTGCAGGTAAATCTTCCTTCCTTTGGCAGTTTGTGGCTTTGCTTCACATGTTCCCTGATTGCAGAAAAAGTTGGCGTCTTTGTTTTACTCAGACCACTGACTTGTATCTATTTCGTGCCAGTTTCCAGTGGGTCGTATCCACAGGCACTTGAAGACTCGCACAACCCGCCATGGGCGTGTAGGGGCCACAGCGGCTGTGTGCAGTGCTGCCCTCCCACTGCTGAAGTAAACCACCCTTGTTTTATGCATATTTGTTTAACAGTGGCCCTGGGTGTTGCATCATACTGTGTTGTATTGTTTCTTTGTAGATTATTGCTTTTTCCATTAATATCCGTTCATTGTCATTTTTATTCTCAGGTACTAGAGTTGGCAGGCAATGCTTCAAAAGACTTGAAGGTCAAGCGTATCACTCCCCGTCACTTGCAGCTGGCCATCCGTGGCGATGAGGAGTTGGATTCCCTTATCAAGGCAACAATTGCTGGAGGAGGTGAGCTGACAGTTTCTCAAACAGATTAATTAGTTTTATTTTTACCGATTTTATGACCGTTTGTGTCCTGATTGCATTTTTATTATATAACTTGTGTGGACTGCTGATTTTACACAACACATTTCTGCAGATCACAGGTAGTCTTTAGTGAAACATTTCATCTCACCATTGTTTTATTTTTCTGCTTGTTTTCAGGTGTCATTCCCCACATCCACAAATCCCTCATTGGGAAAAAGGGCCAACAGAAAACTGCATAGATACCATGTCGACCAGAAGTTTTTGGGCTTGGGCTTTCATAGGACAGGGGTCCACATTTGTTCTTTTTTATTATTAATATTATAGCAAACAAGGAGTGATTGTTAGGCTTTGTGTTATATTTTCTCATAACTAGAAAAAAAAAGTACAGAAAACCCCTTAACAAAAAACCCTTTGTATGTTATTGTAGGACGCTTGACTGGGGAGTTAATGATGATGAATTATTTCTGATTGTGAAGCTGAATTTGTTTGATTGGCCTGGGACTCTGTAATGTTTTATACTGAAAAAATGTTAAACCATTTTTTATATAAAAATTGTTTTGTGGTTATTTTCTTGAAGTTACAATATTTACTATAATACAAGTTTTAAGGAGCTTTTTTGGACAGCAATTTAACAGCTAAATGTGAGATGGTGCTTTTTTTTTCCTTTGACTTCCTATAACCTTTTGAACTGCACAAGGATAGTGACGTATTAAAAGTTGAATTTTTTTACATCATTGGAAAAAAAAGAAATACCACAACTGTGCTGTAGTGTTTTGTGTTTGTGTTTATAGCAGTGTTAAACTTGAACTTAAACATTTGACAGTGTGATCCAGGTGACAGTTTTTGCTTCACCATAGAAGTGTCCTGCCATTTATCAACTACATATCACCTCTGGATATAGTTGGTACCCTGATATTTGAAGAATTCTAGGTGATGATTTAATACCCAGCTGATCTGAACCACAGCAGTGCTTCAGTCATTTACCTGCAACACCTAAGTGTGTGCAGAAACTGACATTCCCACTTAAGTCTATTGGCTTTTTCAAGTAAAAGGGTTTGAGACTTGTTTAAAAGCTGGGTGTTCAGGGAAATGGCTTTGCATATTTTATCTTTGAATAAATACCCTTTGCATGTTATCCTTGGCTTGAAACCACTACTTGAAATTATTTTTGCAGCTCTGATTTTTGTAAGTCTTATATGGAAGAGGTGCTATGACTGTCCAACAATACATGAATGAAACTGCCAAATGTTTTTCTGTTTGTTTTTTATATTTACACTGGAGATATTTATGAAATGTGAAAGTTTTTGAAATCAGCAAAGTATAAGTCAGTACATAATTGAAAATTAGTTTTGCATTTTCTCTGGTAGAGAATTGAATTGTTAACTGGAGGTTAAAAAGTATCTCATCCCTTGTATTGGCTATTTCATTTGGTGTATAATTACAGCTTAAGGTTAAGCTTTAACTGAGCAAATTGTGGTTGAATTTATGTTGTCTCACATGACAATTTGAGGATCTGTTCTGCAGGTTTGCAGCCTGCCAGCAGGGGGAGCCAGTGACATTCACAGTCACATCTCTTCCTCACTAAACAATCAATTAAATAGTGGAACAATATTCTTCCTAAAGCCAACCACATCTCCAAACATGACAAATGTATTTTTACATTTAGGGAAGAATTGAAGGACACCTTAGAAAGGCAAACTTGCCACAAATAAGGAATGTACTTGTGCATGCCAGCTTATATTGCTGGGCTGTTCAGCAATATGGTTCTGATCATTGCTAGCCTGCAAAATATAAGTTTAGAATGATCAAACCTGCAAACAGTTAAAAAAGCACACTTCTGTTTTCCCTGTTGTGTAAAATAAGTCAAAGAAAAAGCAATACTTTGCATTCAGTCTGTAAAACTAAAGATTTTATTAATATTTCAGGTTGTGTTTAGGATAGGAAAATATGATTATCTGTTAATGTCTGCTCACTGTAAAATATATGTATGTCTAAATAAAAATACAGGGTCACATAATAGAGTGTCTAGATGCAAGCCTATTTAATGAACTACATATACTGTAGATGCGGATCAGACTGCTGCAGACATCCATTAAAGTTCAAAAGCAAAAACAATGACTTAATCACTCAGGAAGGGCGAGGTGCATGTTAAATTAATTTCTCATTAGTTATGTCAATTAAAATGTGTCGCTTCATAGATGTTGCACATGCACAAGTTAATTGTGATGGTCTGAACCTGATGCTGGCTGTGATGAGCTGTTGTGTGGGCAGCTGTTGATTTTCAAGCAGACAAAGCGTCTCTTCTCTTCCTCCACAAGATGAAGAGTTTCCATGGAATGATCTACAGCTGCACTGGGCTTCTGACAACAAACTGCAGAAAATGCTTCACATTGATTGCAGCCATTTGAACCACTTGCACATTTCTTTGATGTCCTGTAGCTATTTTAACACCATGAACAAAAACGTGATGTACTTAATGTATATTTATTCCCAAAGTCTGCAGTTCAAAGCTGTACGTGTCAGCCGACTTGTTCCACTGGCTTTTTACTTGTCTTTTTGCTACACTTCTATCAGTAGTGATTTTTCTGAAGGGCAGTGGTGTTGGTGATGGTGAGACCTTGAAAGATTAAATTTAACTTTATTCCCATTCTAAATAGCAGAAACAGCTGAGGAACAAGGACATGTCACACTTCAGAGAACAGTGCTGGTTAAAGTACTGAAATTCTTGTGCTTTGCAGCTAGAAATTACTACATTACAAGTGTGAGTTCTGTGAAAGTTCTCAGCCATCTCACTCTCAATCATCCAAGTGGAGTGATGGCTCATTTCTCCAGACATTCTGCTAATTAAAAGTCGTCCTCTACTCCACAAGCAGTAATAGTTTCAAAAGAGATATTCTTATGGAGTTTAAAGTACAACTAAATCAGTCACAGTGAGGGGAAAACATGCTGTGTCTCTAATTGTCATTTCCCCCGCTTTCTAATAAGTTGAGGATTCACTTGTCTGTCAGCTAATATCTAAAATGTACTGTGACATGAGGAAAACCAGGCTGCTTTATTTATTCATTTGTTTTATTGTTCAGAAAAACACACTGCTTGACAGATTTAATCTAAAGGACAAGTTCAACATTTTGGGAATTAGCCATTGCTAACTTCACTTTCATGATGAGAGTTTGGCAAGAACATGAATACTACTCACGTGTCTGCTTAGCTCAGCATAGAAATGGGAGAAGGCGCGTGCCTGGCTCTGAAGTAGAGCGGGGTCAGGCTGCATTTTTCTGTCCGAACCCATTCTGTGCTAGAGAGTGTGGCGTCTGAAACCCACCCGGTCCAGACAAAGCTTATAATATATAACAGGGGCGTTTCTAGACATCAGGCTCTACTGGGGCACAGGCCCCCCTTTACTCAGATCACATTTTTTCCTTGAATGTTTACTACATAAATTAAATATGCTATACATTGTGCTATGTGAACGTCCCATGCTTAGCCCACTGTTACACTGCCATGCTGCTGCTAAAACAACTACTGCTAAAGGTAACATGTCTTGTCGCGGTTATTTATTTTTACAGTCACTTGTGATAAACTGAGATTAACTTTAACTCTTATTATTTTAATGCTGACAGAAATTTAAAAGAATCTAACTGTGGTTTTCTCCTCTGTATCCCAGCAACACCTCAGCTTCATAGTCGTCTCATTTCCTTTGCAGTTCCCACCCACTGAAGTGTCAGAAAACCTCTTTAAAATATTAGCTGCAAATGATGTGGAAGAGATGAGTGATGACACTGCAAAAGAACAAGCGGCTCTGAGGGTGACAGGAAGAGAACACTGTCAGTTATTTAAAGGTTTTCACAACCAGTGGTCTGACTCATAGGCCTAATGGAAAAACATGTTGTTTTGGGAGCATAGTGGTGGCTCACAGCCCAACACTGACAGGGAGGATCTTATACACAACTGACCTTAGCTCCACTGACATCATGAGGCCCTGTGCTGGTCTTTTCCTTACACGAGAAAATGTCAGATCTGAGTCACATTGATTTAAAATGTACATCTTGTCCAATTATGAGGCAACAAATGAATGTAGCTTGGTTCCCTGGCTGGCCTGGGAACGCCTCGGCCTTCCCCCGGGGGAGCTGGAGGGAGCGTCTGGGGCAGGGTCTTTGCTTAGACTGCTGCCCGCGACCCGGTCCCGGATAAGCGGAAGAAAATGGATGGATGGATGGAAATTAATGTATGTTCAAGATTTAACTGGAGGTAAAAACACCAAAATTTTTCTGCTGCTGCTTTCCTCTATAGTGTTTGTGCCTGCACTTGATCATTTCTTAGAAAAGGGTTTAACATTTTCACCAGAAACATGATTGCAGCCATGCTAAAGGTTCTGTGAGGCTGTCCTTCAGTTCTTTGCGTTCAGTGCCAACATGTAAAATGTTTTAAAATGTTTGCCATCTTATTTAAGCATGTTAGCATGCTAACATTTACCAACTGAGGGTTTTTTTAGTAGCTGTGCCATTAAACCATTTGTAACATTAGATTTTGATGGGATGATAGCGCTGTATGGAAAGATAGTGATGAATAAGTTTCCAAATGTGTGTAGACTACCAAAGTTCACCGCAATCCATCCATTGCCTTCACAAACCACATGTGTTTAGGGAATTACCAGTGTGATTGATTAATCAAATATGAGGCTAAAACTGAACGTTTAATCCTGCAGACTGCTGCTTTGCCAGCAGTGAAACTGATTCTGAGAAACACTCTCAGATCAAAGCTGGTTATTAAACTGTAGCAAATTCAGATGGATTATCAGAGCATGTCCAGAGCACAAGCCTTTCTGGGAATACATGGAACACGCAGCTGCCTCACAGCTTCAAAGAGCAGGAATCATGTGTTCATTCTTACATCTCTCTCTCCTTCTTTCTCCACAGGGTCCTAGTGAAGACAGTGGAGGGTGACAGCTTCAGGTCAGCCAGTGTCTTCTGCAGGGAGCAGCACCATGCCAAACATATTAAGGTAATAGTCCAAACTGCTTGTTTGAGTAGTTTCTTCTAGTTAGGATTCAACCTGTAATCAGTTCCTGAAAGCATACTCAGTTTGAAACACAGGAAATGATGCCACATTACTGATGTTGCTGAAGCAAAGAGAAGAAAAACAAATTAGTTAGCATCAAATGCAAGAGCTATTCTTTTTTGTTATAGTGGAAGAAACAACCACTAGAGAAGGTCATCATTAAAATGAAAACCTAAAACCAAGTTATACTGAAATACCAGAACTATAGGGCTTTAAACTTTAAAGCTGCACCAGTCAATATTTGTATGTATTTATTAATTATGGAAAAGAGATCAGTGTGAAATGGATTATACATATTGACAAACTGTACTCAACTTTATACAGCTTTTTACAATCCTTATTGTTTTTAAACCCTTTAAACCTGAGCTGGTTTCAGGCAGGAGACTGTAGGACTGAACATGTTTATTAGAAGGACGTAATAAAAAGACACAAATTAACAATAGTTCATTGGTCTTCAAAATAAAAAGTAATGAATAAACAAGTTTTCAATGCAGCTACTTTCAAAAGAGCTAAAACACAAACAAAGATATTTTCACAGAACATCTAAAAGTCAGCCTGGAAAAATAAAAGAATAAAAGAATGACGTAAACAGGATGACTCAACGAAAACATTCTGACTAACACAACCATGGCACTGCTGAGAAAAATCAGAGCAATGAGATGGTTTCTGATTGAAATTGTCTACGTTGAACCTTGATTGACTTTCAATGCGATTAGAGTTCATAGTGCAACATTTAATCAGTTCAACCATCTTTTCACCACTCTTCTATTTCTACATCACTTCAGTATCTGCACATCTTCTTTTGACACCTCACAAACAAGCACTAACAAGAGGTTAGTTCTGTTTCCACACTTCTGAATGGCACTGTTGTCGTAGCTTTGTCAAAAGCGAGTTTGTCCATCAGGAGGCCCTGCATAGTTGTGGCAAAGGTTTGTGTAGGCCACATGTTCAACAGTGAGTTCTGAATTCTCCAAATATTGTCACAAATGATTTCTGCACTTCTTGGCCACATTTATACCTGAGCAGGTATTGACAACAAGGGATGTTTATGACTTTAAATGAGCTAAAGTCTATAATTTATCTATCTACAAAAACACACTACCAACAGATTTCTCTGTCCCCCTGAGTCCCTGCATGTGTCAGCATTGTTCAGGAGGTGTTTTATCTCCAGTTACTGTTCACCAGTGGATCAGCACCAAGAAAATGACCTCCCCACCATTTCAAAGAACAACTTGTTGGGCTTCTGAAAGTACTGACAAAGCTTCTTAAAGGCCTGGGTGCTGAGCGGCGCATGCGGCCTTCCTTTGGACTCGTCCAGGCACTTGTCTTGTCCAGCAGACAGGAGGCAGTAGAAGCCTTTGGTGGTATTGTAGCAGAAGTTGTTGGGGCTGATTCTGGGCGGCAGGTCCAGAAACCTCTCTGCTTTTCTCAGCTCAGGGAAGGGATCTCGAATGAGCGCGTCGCCATCCACCACATGGATCTGCTCCCTGGGGAAGACTTCCAGCCAGTGGGCCAGGTGCTGGTGGTACAGGCTCCTCTGCAGCGCCTTGTATCCAGGGTTGATGTGGCCCTTGTGGAGCAGGATTTCCTCTAGCGGCTGGTAAGATTTGTGGCGGGTCAGGCGGTTGTGCAGGACCTGGGTGTAGTCAGATACCAGCCTGTCAGCCGGGTCCCGGACAATGAGTAACAGGCGGATGGCGGGGTTCATGTCCCAGACGCGTGCAGGAACCTGAGGGGCTGCAAAGTAACCGGGGGTCTTCTCCACTGTCAGCTGACCAGGGAGGCTGAAAGGCATTTGGGCTCGGTACCAGGCTAGACCTCGGCGGTAGTGCTCCTCCACATTGAAATAGTGCACCTTACAGAAGGACAGAGGGTGGAGCAGAGTTAAAGCATTCATGCTTCTGGATCAGGGGGCTGCTGATGCATCAGCTGATTGGCTTCTGACTAGTACCAACCAATTAGTGGTACAAATACATTCAGTAGCCTAGTACTCAGTGTTATAGTTAGATCAGTAAACAAATCCTCCTCTTTCTTACATGCTGAAAACCTCTGTATTGTTGACTTCAGGGATGCAACATATGATTACATTCAACTGTTACTGTTGTAGCTGGTGGAACTGGACAAGTTTTTAATATTTATGTAAAGTTCAGTAGTTTAGTTCAGTAGTTCCAAACCTAGGGGTCAGGCCCCCTCCAGATGGTCACAAGATATGTCTGATATGCTTTATCATTTCTTTTAAACTATAACATCATAATCTGAAATGTTCCTGGACCTGTGAAACTAATGTACAAGTGCAATAGAAGTGTGAAAAACAAAAGTACCTCAAAATTATAAGTACAGTACTTGAGTAAATGTAATCAGTTTCTTTCCACCGCTGCAAACAGTACTTTTATTAGATCAAAATGATGTTGTACCTCAGCCTTAGCAACCTCCACGTCTGGATGCAGGTTGAGCATCTCCAGCAGGGCCCTGGTGCCTCCTTTCCTCACACCAATGATAATAGCCCCGGGCAGCCGCTGCTGGGTGGCATTGTAAGAGGAGGGGGAAGAGGATGATGAAGAAGAGGAGGCAAGGGAGCCGGAAACCCCAGTGCGTAATTCCCTTAAGCACAGAGACAGCTGAGTCTGCAGCAGCACAAGCACCAGCAGGGCTAGTAGCACCGTCCACAGCATGGTGCCACAGACACACACTCACAGCGGTGGAGTGGAGGTTATGTGTACACACTCATGAAGCTCCCAGATTAGTACGAAGCTGTGCTTGTTATCAGTCAGCAGGGGGCCTCAGGAGGAAGCTCCTCGGTGGGACAGCCTATGAGCCAAGAAAAAGTAAAGGTTATCATCCAGTTTCTGTTTTAACCCTAACACCTACCCCATGTGGTGGAAATACAGTGTAGAAAAGTAAAACATTTGACAAAGATGCTGCTAATAGACAAGTGATAGGAGCTCCACTTTGATGTAAAACAGACTGAACAGAACAGAGATTGTTAAAATTTAACTGAGATATAAAAAAAATCAATTTTAGGACATAGTGCAACTGTTAAAACAGGGAAAATGCTATGTCAAACCCAGAAAAGAACAACAAAGAAACATGTAATATTTCCTATCTTCATGCTGTAGTCTGCTTTATCAGATCCTCCTGGGCTTCTGCCATTAGTTGCAGCCTGCACATTAAAAGATGCCCAAAGATATGATTGTGACGCAAGAATATAGGGCAGGAAAATAGGGCGGCATGGTGTAGCAGTGGTTAGTGCTGTTGCCTCACAGCAATAATGTTCTGGGTTTGAGCCCGGGCCGACCTGGTGCCTTTCTCCCTGTGCCTGTGTGGGTTCTCTCCAGTTACTCCGGCTTCCTCCCACAGTCCAATGACATGCAGCTTAGGTTGACTGGTGACTCTAAATTGCCCGTAGGAGTGAGTGTGGTTGGTTGTCTCTAAGTGTCAGCCCTGTGATAAACTGGCGACCTGTCCAGGGTGGACTCCGCCTCTCACCCAATATCAGCTGGAGTTGGCTCCAGCCCCTCCACCCCCCTCTCCCTCAATTTAGGAATAAGCCGTATAGATGATGGATGGATAGATGTATCCTCTGAGAGGGGGAGGATGCATCGTCGGCATCAGTCAGATTACAAGAGGGTAGTTTCTTTTCCTGTCACATAGCTACAGCAGTCGGCCCGTGCATGCATGCTTGCTTGACTACTTCATTATCCCATATGTTTGAGATTGTTCTGCACTTCAATATTCCATTTACAAAGTCCTAGTCTGAGCAGTGGTGACTCCAGCCCAGAATACAGGGGCGTTATATGATTGTGACCAGAGAATATTAAAATATTCATCTATATCTAAAGCAGACAGAGAGGAGACACATGGAAAATTAATGGTGTTATGAGGTTTAGGGTCTCCTCAAGGGGCACTATCACCCCTCTGTGTTCAGCTGAACCACTTTTACAGCACAGAAGACAAGTTGCCATGAATCCTGAGTGTCTTGGTGCTGCTGTATATCTCCTGGAGTTTAATTCAGTAGCTGGTGACATTTTGTCTTCAATGTAAGAAAGCACACATTTTCACAGATGCAATAAAAGAAGAAAGAGATTTTGTTTCAACTGAGGATTTCATGTGCTGCAAGAAAAAAATGAACCCATGGTCAGACACATGATCAGTCAGCATTATCTTGTTTGTGATTTTTTTTGTTGAGGCCAAAAAATGTTGAACTCTATTGTTTTTATTCAGCGACAGTACCGACCAACTGTACAGCTACCTAACCTCAGAGGACAGGGTGAGGTTGTTCGTCACGGCTTCTCGAGGAGAATGTGTTTTCAAGAACACGAGTGCCCAAAGCACAAAAAAATGTTTCACTCACTCAAATTAATTAGATATTTTCTTTTATTTTGTTACACAGCACAAGGGGAAAATGCACAGGCAGCTGTACAGGCTTCTTCAGTGCAGTAGTCCTCCAGCTTTATCCTATACTACAGCTACTTAAAACATTTGCCTCTGCATTTTCATTGTGGTGTACCACACAGCCTTATTTTAGTGATTCACTATTTACTACAAATTTCTTGAAGGTGTCCTGTAAAGAATCATCTTGTAAACAAAGTTCTGAGACAGATTTTTTTTTTGTTAGTCCACTGAGTTGTCCTGATTTTATCACTGGCTACCAAATAGATTTTCACAAAATAAATGGCTAATTTTAAGTTAATATTTAATATTTACTATAGTTAACTATTTACTCTTCATTTAATGTTATTCTTCATTAATGTAAATTGTAGACAAAGTTCACACTTTGCATGTGTAGCTAACTTTCTGTTGTGCCAGTTTAGCATTTAGAAATAACTAGTGACCTGATCACTCTTCAATTCTGCATATAAATAGTAGGCTATGGTTCTGGGAAATCAAGTCAAGAATCTTTATTGTCATTATGCATAGCACAAATTTCTTAGGATATTAATTAGAACAAAAAGAGGAATTTACAGATTTAAAATAAAGTGTAATCTATCATTCCTTTAAATCATTTTTAATTAATAATTTAATTTTAGGATTGCCCATTTGGTTCATTTTGTTATTGACAGTTAAACAGAGTATGGGATTGCAGATGTTTTCAGGCAGGCAAATCTGAGGACGCCTCTGGCTACAGCTAGCTACCTGACACACCTGTTGGTAATAAATTGATTGACCATGACACTGAAGAGCTGCTACACACCGTGAGAAGTCATAGCTGAAACTTCTGTGTGTGACAGTTTGAACCAATCAAATTAAATATATAATGATTTATTAACCTCATTTGTTTGTGCTTTGGAATTTAACTTTGACCCCAAACTCCCTTTTTATTGTCTCTGGCTGAGTGCAGTGTTTTTTTTTTAACCTCCAGGTAGGTTGATAAGATCAAAACCGGTTGTTTGACCACCTGACCTGATGTACAAGCAGGAAATACAAGGGAATATATGAAATGCACAGAGACTCCCAGAAGCTTCACACTGAATGAGACATGAGTGGCCTCAGTCTACTCATCTAACATGTACCAAAAAGTAAGCAACTCCATACACATGTTCTTTAAGATCTGTCCTTCTGTCTCAAGCTGTGGAAACTGTTACTGTTGCCCTTGTATCAAACCCAGAAGGCCTATAAAGTGTCACCTGTTTGATGCTGAGTTTGAAATGCATTTGCTTTTCTGCTTCAAACATTTCCTGAAAGGTGTCCCAGCTTGTCCAACAGGTCTGTTGACATACAAGTGTATTTTGTTGTTAATTTGTGAAGTATTTATCTGATGTATTTTGTTTTGACATGGGAGGATACAGTGCCATGTTTTGTTTTCTCTTGTCTCTGTAGAGTTGGGGGATGAATTTCTTCAGTGAAATAGCTTCATTGTTGTCTTCAACTGCATTTCTGTGCACAAACTTTCCCTTAATGGTCATTTGTTTTTACTCAGAGTTTAATTCATCTGAATTATTTTCCTGAAAGAGAAACGGTATGAACATGTTGTGTTCAGCTGAGGGTCTCAGCCTTTTTGACTCAAAAACACCACTGTAACAATTTAATGATTGATATAGTCAATTTAAGTGTTAATTTCCATCATTTTGTATTTCTGCTGTGTTCCTGTCTTATTGTTCAGACTGTAATTGGTAGTGGGGAGGAGTTAAATAATCTCTGTAGGTGGTTGCTGGCAGTTCTCTCTAAAGAAAATATATTAATAACAGGAGTCGAACAAGTGGTTTCAGTAGTTTACAAGCTGTTGCAAAAACCTAATGTAACACAGGAGCAGTAGCCAGTTTAAGAATGAAAATGTACAAACACTCCCAAGTCAGAAGGTCTATTTTTTTTCCACATTGCCTATATGTGTGGTTGCTGTACATGTTGAACATTATTGCTGTATTACTGCATTTCTGGCCTATTAAAGCTGCTGTGGATGGAGAGATCACATATACTGGCTTCTTATACGATTCATTTCTCCCTGCACCATGTAGCGTTTTCGGTGATGTTTATGAGAGCTGAATATTTTCTTCTGTTCGACTCCATGGAGCTGCACTGGAAAAAGCCAGGTGTGTATCACTAACACTAATTCTTTCCATCCTCTTGTTTTTCTGTTGGTCCCAGTGCCTTTCCTGTTGTCATTGCTGTTGTTGTTGTTACTGTTATTATGCTGAGCTGCCCTGATGTGACAGAGTTATTAATTAGTGTAATAATGTTCTGGTTCAGAGAAGGAACCCTGTCTAGCATTGTTCTTGTAGCAGAGCGCTAATTGCACCTTCTGGGAGCTTCCCACAACCTTCTGTGTTATCCCCTGGCTTGGTGACATTGTCGTCATCTATGCTGTAACCTTTGCCATTCCTCTGACGGCAGAGGGGAGATTCAGGGCACAGTAGTGTGTGGCTTTTGTGGGTGTGGTGACTGTTCACTTATGGCTATGGTGCTGCTGTTGGCAGCGAGGAGAGCTTTAAACAGATTTATTCCAAGATGTAAAAAAGTTTATTTATATCTATCCTTGTTCTTCACCTGTATAATCAAGTCATATTCATGCAGAAACTTCAGTTAAAAATGTGTGTATTAAATTATAATAAGTCGAATTTAAGGTGTACGTTCTCGTTGCACAAGATTATTCCAGAAGAATATTAATCAGTTCTACTTTTGTCTGATCTGAAGGTCATACCAACAAAATCAAGGCTAGCTTCCTGTTTTGTTTTGTTTTTTATGATGCAAAGAGCCAAAAGTTGTTTTTGTCCTTTGGACTTTCAATTGCAAAGTCACCGTTGAGAATTGAGAAACTGCACTTCAAGACACACAGTTTGTTTTTCCTAACAGGTGTAGTAGCAACAACCACAGGCAGATGTACAGTCTGTGTTTTAAAAATGGTCTTCTACTATCTTTTCTATATTATTGTATAGCACTTTTCTATGCTTTACAGCACACTCAAACCGTTTTCATTTGGCCATTCACCCCATTCACACTCCCCAATGCTCACACATTCACACACCGGTGTTATCACCAGGAGCAACTGGGGGTTCAGTGTCTTGCTCAAGGACACTTCGACATGTGGACTGGACAAGCCGGGAATTGAACCGCTAATCATCCGGTTAGGAAACAACCCGTTCTATCTCCTGAGCCACAGCTGCCCTGTGTATCTCTGTCAGATGGACTATGACCAGTTTGGAAGAAGTACTCAGTGTTTACTTAAGTAAGAGTAGCAATACCACAGTGTAAAAATACTCTGTTATAAGTAAAGGTCTTGCATTATTTAAGTAAAAGTATTAACAGAAAATATATTTTATGTACCAAAAGTAAAAGTACTCATTAGGTAAAATGGCACAGTTTATATTGATGTA